AGCATGGACACCCACTGAGAGCTGCCTTTGCCCCACATCTCAGGGGCTTAACCAGTAATATTACTGCCTCCCACTTCAATTTTTTTTTTTTCTTTTTTTGAGACAGAGTTTTGCTCTTGTTGCCCAGACTGGAGTGCAATGGCGTGATCTTGGCTCATCACAACCTCTGCCTCCCAGGCTCAAGCAATTCTCCTGCCTCAGCCTCCCGAGTACCTGGGACTACAGGCATGCACCACCACGCCTGGCTAATTTTGTATTTTTAGTTGAGACGGGGTTTCTCTATGTTGGTCAGGCTGGTCTCAAACTCCCAACTTCAGGTGACCCGCCTGCCTCGGCCTCCCAAAGTGCTAGGATTACAGGCGTGAGCCACCGCGCCTGGCCCCACCTCAAATTTTAAAATAAATACTCAAAGACATTTGCAAAAATGCTGCCACTTTAATCAAAGCCAAAACACACTTGAGGGGCCACCGACAATCACTTGTAACAAAACTGTTGGAACTGGGACTGAATAAGATGGGGTCCATTTGCACTTACACCTGTTCAGGTGGCATTTCTGTGTTCATGAACACCTGATGGAACTTCCTGCCCTCAGGATAGGTGGGCAAGACAAACCGGCCTTTCCTTCCTGCACGTGTGAGGTGATAAATGTGATAGAGGGCCTCTCAGGCCTGCTTGGCTCCAGGCTCAGCAACAGCAACCTGGGCTCTCATTCCATCAGCATCTTGCTGAGAGGTGGACTGGGCTGAGCAGGCAATCTCAGGTTTCCATCCATGTCATTCGATGTGCTGACTGTGGCAAATGTGCACACCATCCTAAACCCACAATCCCTACTGTCGTCACTGGGTAAGATGCCATGGTTCTTGTGGAGACACCTGCTACACTCGACATAACAAGATCCTAGACATTCCTTCTTACCATCTGCGCAGCACTCCAGAGCTGCCTGCTCTTCCATCCTAAGACCCCCCAACTGAATTCACTGCTAGGCCCCAGCACACTGTTGTCTTCCCACTGTGCATGGATGCTGCTCTTCAGTTGTCCTTGTGCCCTCTTGCAATCCTATTCAGTCCTGATTGTGAGCACAATTTCATCCCGTAACTTGGAAGTGGCCAGGCCAACCTTGACTTTGCTGTTAAACATGGCTTCGTGGGGGCTGTGGCAGATAACCTTGTGGTAAGTCGAGTTTTTCATCATCTGAATGAACTACAGATCCTGAAGCCAATGATGTGTGTCATTGGTCTGTATCCAGGTAGTCAGCATGTAGTGTGTGTACTGGGTTGAATAGTATTTCCAAAAAATGCATGCCATTCCCAGAACCTTATTTGGAAATAGGTTGTTGTTGCAGATGTAATTAGTTAAAATGAGGTCGTACTGGAGTGGGCCCTTAAAAGACTGGTGCCATTATGAGAAGAAGAGAAGACACACAGAGGCAGACACAGTGAGAATGCCTTGTGACAACACAGGCAGAGATTAGAGTGATGCATCTATAAGTCAAGGAATGCTGGCAACACCAGAAGCTAAGGGAAAGGCATGGAACAGATTTTCCCCTAGGGCCTTCAGAGAGAACATGGCCCTGCTGACACCTAGATTTCAGACTTTCAGCCTCTAGAAATGTGAGATAATAAATTCCTGTTACTTTAAACCACTCAGTTTATAGCAGGGGTCCCCAACCTTTTTGGCACCAGGGACTGGTTTCACAGAAGATGATTTTTCCACAGACAGGGCTCGGGGGTGGTTTCGGGATGAAACTGTTCCACCTCAGATTATCAAGTATTAAATTCTCATTAGGAGCATGCAACCTAGATCCCTCGCACGTGCAGTTCACAATGGGGCTTCCACTCCTATGAGAACCTAATGCCACTGCTGATCTGACAGGAGGAAGAGCTCAGGTGGTAATGCTCGCTTGCCTGCCACTCACCTCCTGCTGTGTGGCCTGGTTCCTAATGGGTAGACCCAGGGGTTAGGGACCCCTGGTTTATAGTTTGTTGTTACAGAAGCCCTAGGAAACTAATACAGTCTGCATGATTCCATTGACTCCCACCACAGAGCTCTGTCCGTGTTCATGAACCATCTTCAGCTGAGTTAGCTCCCCGACAATCTGGATGAAGAAATACCCTCAATGGTGTCTGCAAGACACTGGGGGCCCTGAACAGTGAC